CTGAAAATCTCCTAGATTGAAGTCCGAAGCCCGGTGGTCGGACAGGCCTGGTGGAGCTGATCTTGTACCTCCTGATACGGCGATTAGGTTTAGGGTTTAGGGTTTAGGGTTTAGGAGTTTAGGAGTTTAAGGTTTAGGGTTTAGGGTTTAGGAGTTTAAGGTTTAGGGTTTAGGGGTGAGCTGACTTCCCTGTCAGAGAGCCCATTCAGCCATGTGACCTTGAGATCGAGCACTCGTAGAGGCTTCCACCACACGAGAGGGAAACCCTAAACCCTAAACCCTAAACCCTAAACCCGAAGCCCTAAACCCTAAACCTTAAACCCTGAACCCTAAACCCTAAACCCTTCAGCCCTAAACCCCTAAACCCTGAACCCCAAACCCCAAGCCCTAAGCCCTGAACCGGGCCATGGGATCCCTGGCTTTTGTGCACGGCTGAGTACAACAGCTGTATGTACAGACGCACCTGTCAGGCTTCATCGTCCGCTGTGCAGTTAGAAAGTCCGGTTTAGGATTTAGGGTTTAGGGTTTAGGCTTTAGGGTTTAGGGTTTAGCGTTTAGGGTTTAGGGTACGGCACTCCTCTGATGAATTAGGTTTAGGAGTTAGGGTTTAGGGTTTAGTTTACAGGGATTATCACCAGGATCCTAATCAATAGTAGTATGCGCCTGAAAGAATGGAGCTAGAATGCATGTGTTTTTTTTTTGCATGGTTCTGGCTTTACCAGTCTCATAGCCCTGCTACCCTCAGCCGGCTTCAAGTCTTCACGCTTCGGTATGGTCTTAGGGTTTAGGGTTTAGGGCTATGGATATCTGAAAGGGATTCGGGATTGTGCGCCCTGCAGCATCCTGTAGATCTTCCTGACTCAAGAGCGCGATCCAAGCAATACTCGGAGGCCCAGGGGACTTAGTAAGTAGGCTATAAGTAGAGTTATAAGCACCCTATCTGGAGATACCCCCCAATTACAAACCCTACTTATAGCTGACTTACTAAGTTTTCCTGGGGTACAGCATGTTATCAGAGCATTTGAAAGGCTTACTTGGAGGTTCATGGGCAGTTACAAGCAGGGTTAGGTTTAGGGTTTAGGGTTTCAGGGTAACTAGAAGTACAAACCATGTTAAGGGACTTCTAGCCTCACTTATAACTAGCCATGAACCTCCAAGTGTGCCCCTACACCCTAAACCCTAAACCCAGAACCCCAACTGGGACATGGCCCTCACAGTTCAGAGCTTTTGGAGTTCATTGCCCAGGAGCCTTTAGCCCTCTGGGTTGAGATCCCAAGTTTGCACCCTAAACCCTAAACCCTAAATCCTGAACCCCTAAAGCCTAAACCCTAAACCCTAAACCCTAAACCCCAACCCCAAAACCCCAAACCCCAAACCCTAAACTCCAACCCCAAACCCAAACCCTAAACCCTAAACACTTAGTGCCTACTACCCCCCCCCCCTCCATTCCCCCGTATAGAAACGCCTCCAGGCTTTGAAATGGGAAGCCCTTATATTAGGGACCCAAAAAGCACATAAGCATAAGCATTTTATAGGGATATCCCTACCTTATTGGGCTTCACTATAAGGGGGTTTATATGGGACATCCCTGTCCTAATTTTTGCTTATGTGCTTTTTTGGGGGCCTTATGGACCCCACCCTGAACTCCGAACCCCCAAAGCCCGAAACGGCCCTAGGTTTGGGGTTTAGGGTTTAGGGTTTAGAGCCCTAAACCCTGAATTCTTCCGCGCCCCTAACCCTAAACCCTGAACTCCAAACCCCAAACCCGAAACGGCCCGGAATTCTTCCGCGCCTCTGAACCTTGGCATTCTTCTGGTTCGCTCTTAGGACTTTAACTTTTTGGTGTCTATATGAACAACAATAATTAGGCCAAAAGTTTAACTTTTTTAGGAGGGGTTCAGAAGTCAGCCAAGGAACCTTGAACCCTTCCAAAACCCACCAAAAACCCACCTAAGCAACGTGACTAAACGCCCAGAACGCCGTAACTAAACGCGCCTGAGTCTACGAGCTAGCCACAGAGGTGCAGCAATCTCAGCCAACCCCAGCACAGAACACACCGTCTTCGATGTCAAGGCCAGGATGTTCGGTTTGCCGTCTTTGTGGTTGTATAAAGCAGCTTCATGAGGGCTCCATAGGCGTCCCTTTAGGGTTCGGTTCAGATTTTATAGGAGTTGTTAAGGGCTCTCTGAAGCTATACTATAAAGGCTCTGTGAGAGTTCGTCGATTCGGTTTCTGGTTTTGACGATACAAATCATACATCTGATGGACCAGCCGCTGTACTACCCATGGCAAGGAATACCTCGTAGTCCCTTAGTTTAGAATACTTCAGGTAATGGAACCATCATCGATCAGAGCAACTCTGCTGATGTTGGAGCTTCAAAAGGTAGGGGACCCTGCTCAGCAGCTCCCTAAACCCCAAACCCTAAACCCGTATTCGGACCCTGACAAAGGGATGGCAAAGTCGAGGAATTCCCTTCAGTGCTCAGGGTTTGGAGCTGTTTAGCATGCAGTGGGATGCGTGGGCGTTTCAGGCCGCCCTTTGAATGGTTTATGTTTTATGGTTTAGGGTTTAGGGTTTAGGGCATTTCTGAGGTCCAGAGATCAGGTTTTGGGTAGGTTTGGGGTTTTCGATTGTCGGGCGTGGGATGGCTCTGGCTTGCCGGGGGTTTAGCAATCCTACCAGTAGTATAGATTTTTTAAGGCCCGTACATTAAGCGTGATAGAAAGCCTACTGAACCCGACAAAGCCCTGAGAAGGGTTATTCTGATTGTTCAGGCCCATCTACTTGGAGGCCCAGGGGACTTAGTAAGTAGGTTATAAGTAGAGTTATATGTACCCTAACTGGACTTACCCCAATTCTTATAACCCTAAACCCTAAACCCTAAACCCTAAACCCTAAACCCTAAACCCTAACCCTAACCCTACTTATAACCGACTTACTAAGTCCCCTGGGCCTCCAAGTATGAACCCAACAGGCTGGTCGGTCGAGCCTTGAGGGCTTCCAGGCTACGCCCCTAAACCAGCTGAAAAAAGATCTAAACCCTAAACCATAAACCCTAAACCCTAAACCCTCAACCCTCAACCCTAAAACCCAAACCACAAGCCACTGAGCCTCAAAGCCTCTCTCGGAACCTTAAGCCTTAAGCCATAAACCCTAAGCCAGTAAATCCTAAACCCTAAATTTTTTAGGGTTTAGGGTTCAGGGTTTAGGGTTTAGGGTTTCGTAAGCCTTCCTGGAAGATCTCACACGTGCCAAAGCCCATTGTCACGGTCGAGAGCATGTGGCATCGGCAGGCAGACCCGGAAACTGTACAGTTATGAAGCTTACGTAGTCTCGGTTACAGCATTGTTGTGATTGTCGGGTGTAGGCAGGGTGTAGGGCCAGCAGTGCGTCGCCCTAAACCCTAAACCCCACGGAATTGGGCCACAAGCCCGAGACCCGATATTTTGTTCGCACTGAGCCTTACATCCCCGAGCCCCGAGCCCTCTGTATGTAATATAGTCAAGTACGGTTGATGATATGAACCCTGCATTACCCATAAGAAGGAAAAACCATCATTCCCCTGGTTCAGGGTCCTGAGGGTAGTGCAGGATCTATATCATCGACAGTATTGGGGCCGGGTCAGATAGCAATCATACCCATGTGTATAAGTCTACTATAGGGCACCCCAAACCCTAAACCTAAACCCTATTCTGATTATTCAGGCGAGTTTGTGGGCTAGGGTTCAGGGAGAGTTTTGGATGCCCTGATGCCGGACTGAGTCGAAATAACATGATCTTGCAAATCAGATTTCAAGACGATCTTGCGGGGTTGTAATGTCTATCGCAGCATGGCATGAAGCTTGAACAAGATCTTAGCATTCTACAGTCATATTTATATCTATGGGGAGCATGCAGGAAGAAGATGCGGATGTGCGGCTGCAATATGAAAGCGACAAGAATGCACGTACTTCCTAGGGTTCCTGTAGACAACTACGCCAGAATATAATGTAGGGGCCTTAATAATTAGGATTGGGTTTGGGGGGGCTCCTTATTGCAATTATAGCATAACAGACCCCCAAACCCGAGTCTAATTACTATATTGTTTCGGTTTGGGGTTTCGGGGTATGGGGTTTGGGGGTTTAGTGTTTGGGGGTTGGGGTGCCGGGTTTCGTAAACCCTAAACCCTAAACCCTAGGTTTGTGGTTTGGGTTTACGTAAGGCTGTAGGGTTTTCCTGTTTTGGGTTCGGTTTAGGGGTCTGGGGTTTAGTACTTCAGGGCTTAGAGGTTTCGGGTAGGGGTATGGGGTTTTGGGTGCAGGGGTTTGGAGGTACGGGTTTGGGAGGGTTTTGGATTTCGGGTTTAGGGGCTTTAGGGTTCAGGGTTAGGGGTTTAGGTTCGGTTTCGGGCGAAAAGGACATGGGCCGTGGAATAGCGCAGAGGCGATGATATCTCGCGACAAGCCTGCGTCGAGTGCATCGTACTATTCAGATTCCCTAAACCCTAAACCCTAAACTCCTAGAGTTCCATAAGCACATAAGCGCCATAAGCGCCATAAGCCTTAAATCCTAAACCGTTGAAGTTCACTAAACCCCATAAACCCTATAAGTCCTGAACCCGTTAGTTCCATAAGTGATAAAAAGTATGATGCTTACACTTATAGTTAACCCACATTGAGGGCCTTATAACCCACTTATACCTACCCATGAACCTCCAAGCAAG